GAGAGAGGGAGGGAGAGAGGGAGGGAGGGAGGGAGAGAGGGAGAGATCTGTGCATGTCAGCCACCCAGACATACGATAAGAAAACAACATAAATGGCTGCAACGGAACGCAAATTTACAAAATTTAATAAATAATTTTCGGCCACATGCAACAGCCTTCTTTAGTAATAAATCCTAGCAATGAAAATAGACTTATATACAATATATACGAATAAATTAAACAATAAGGTTCACTAACCCTATAATAATAAATGCGACTATTGTTGTACAAAATCATGGCTATTGTTCAAACCCGTCTGATTTAATTTGTTAGTAGATTCCAATCCAAACATTTTCACATTCTCTAAGACCGACATGGCTTTGGTCAATCAACATAAATTTTAAAGTTGAATGACCAGCCCCATGACAATCCAAGAATCTCTTACAGCAGTCGCAACATTTGGCCGTACACTGAAGCAACCTGAACCATCTTCTTTGGTCTTACTCTTATAAGGGTTCGAAGGTGCTAAAAGTTCTCTCTAGTTGGCATTACGTTTATATGAAACACGTATAGCACTAGCGGGCACGATTTCATGGCAACTTTATCACCTTTTATAATCGCTAGATGTTTCTTAATTATCTTTCTAACATCGGGAGCTCGGAGATTGTATTTGACACTGAGGACACAAAAATTAGTATTACGTTTCCCTTTATTTATACGAGCTTCTTCCCTTGACAAATTGGAAACTTCTTTAAACACACTCCGGAGATGATTTTTGTCATGGCCACATTGAATTAAATAATTAATGTATTCCTCACTTTTAACTTTAATAAAATCGTCATCTCCGGAGCATACCCGACGTAATATCAACGCAACTCCCTCAGGAATACCTACTATTTGTGGTCTAGGATGTCCGCGCATGGGCTTGCAGTACATAGATGTCTCCAAATGATTGTTTGAAATTACAATATACAATCCCCGATGAAAATACAATCCCCGAGCTCCTGATATTAGAAAGATAATTAATTTAGCGATTATTAAAGATGATGAAATTGCCAAGGAAATCTTTCCCGCTAGTGCTATACGTGTTTCATATAAATGTATAATGCCAACTTGAAAGAACTTTTAGCACCTTCGAACCCCTATAAGAGTCTGGGGCGGCGGAAAGTCGATATTCTTTGATAATTTTTTGAAAATTTCTTCGGTAAAACTTTTTAATTTTTTTCACACGGTAATCTTATCTATAATTCCTTTAAATGATAGCGTTTAAAAAAGATCGTACGAGAACTTTTTTTGAAATCCTCAAAAAGCGCTGTTTTTGGAATAAAAATAATTTGGCTCGTACGATTTTCTCAAAACTTGCACATTTTACGCACTTCAAGATTACAGGAAAGTGTGTGAAGTTTTAAAAAATTTTACCGAAGGAAACACGAGAAAAATACATTTATTTTTATCTATGTAACGTCACAAAAATCAGAATTTCAATTTCCTCGCGCGACCGGCCGACAATCCCACGAAGGTCCGCGTGTGTATATCACGACGCAATTTTAAAAACCTGCCACGCGTGCAACCTCGAGCACGCGCGTCGCGTGTACCACTACTAATCTCGCGCGTGGACAAAATTTCCGCGACACAGCCCTTAATTTAATTTTAAATACGATTAAAACTGTAGGGAGCCACCTTAAGCGTAAACGTAGAATTTGTGGTATTGTTAACCATTTTCAGAATTTGTCATGTGGCTGATCATTCAACTTTAAAATTTATGTTGATTTACCAAAGCCATGTCGATCTTAAGCCCGCCGCACACGAGCGCACTTGTTATTCTTGTCGCACTTGTCGCGCGTACTTGTCGCGCTTGTCGCACGCACTTGTCGCGCGTACTTGTTATTCGTGACAAGTTGGATCGACAAAATTTCCTCGTGTGTGGGCAACATTTACGGCATTTTCGTCATTCGTGACATGTAAACCAAATATCAAACATGTTTGATATTTGGTTTACATGTCACGAATGATATTTTTAAAAAAATACACGAGCTCGTGATTTTGATCCGCCATGTTGTTTTTAATTCTGCAAGTTGCACGCATGCGCAAATTTTCCTATTCAGGCGCGCTTGTCGTTTGCTCGCCGCACACAAGAATTTTTTTGTCACGAATGCCGTAAATGTTGCCCGCACACGAGGAAATTTTGTCGATCCAACTTGTTACGAATAACAAGTACGCGCGACAAGTGCGCTCGTGTGCGGCGGGCTTTAGAGAATGTGAAAATTTTTGGATTACAACTCTACTAACAAACCAGATGGGTATGAACAATACGCAACAAGCAATCGTCAGGCAACATAGTCACATAACAAATTATTATTAAATGTTCTACAATTGTCTTGTTTTGAGCTCTCTTTATTCTTAAAAAAGGGAAATTACTTTATGATATGATAATATATAATAATATATATAATATATATCACACTTCTTAATGCTTATTTCACAGTTAACGGTGGCTACAGTAGCTGGAATTTAGGCACTGAATGTAATGTTACGTGTGGACAAGGTGTAGAAATATGGCGACGTTCATGTGACAATCCTAAACCGAAGAATGGAGGCCGAAATTGTACTGTGTTGGCAAAAGATGTTGAAGGTCGAACTTGTGAAAGACGACCTTGTTCAAGTACGTTCTTGTTTGTCTTTTATTCTCCTTCGTCTCAAGTGCTATCGGTGATACTTCTTTTCTTAGGATTTTTTACCCTCGTATATCTTTAAACAATATCTCTCTACAGTATATCTGATCACTATTCTCAACTGTTTGTCTACTACGTACCATGTCAAACATTTGCTCTTTGTCATTAACTTGTATACGTAATGGTTTGCGTTTGAAACATTTTAGTTGATGGTAACTATAGCAACTGGACTAGATCGTCAGAATGCAATGTGGCGTGTGGTGTGGGGTACGATATGTGGTCCAGGAAGTGTGATAATCCACCTCCAAAATATGGAGGTGACTGCTACAAATATGGCAAAGACAGAGACAGTAGACCTTGCCACATGAAGCCTTGTCCAGGTTAGTCATTGAGTTTTTTATTTAATTATTAATTATTTAATATCATTTAGGCAGAGTGTACGTGGTTGCCTAATTATTATGTAGTCGCTAACCATGCAGGGAAGATATTATCCTTCAAACGAGCAAAACCTCTCATTAAAAATTGAACCTGAATTTGATGAGAGTGCATGATGGTCGATGAGAGTTGGCAGTCAAATTAGTTCATTGCCGGAAATTAACGACAAAATGGCCTGGCGGACCCACGGCCGCTTGTGTACTACTTTGCATACAATCCATATACGTATACAATGGCTTTCAATTTTTAATAGGGAATATTAAGGGCGAAAATATTTACTGGCAGCTCGAAATTATGGCAATCTGAGAACTCGGCTACTGTTTGCCGACCTCATGATCGATAAAGCATTTACTTACCAATGTTTCGGTGGCATATTTATGTAGATCGGGCATTTCTCTGAGCGGCCAAATAATGAATCGTTGCGCACATTTTAATCTATGATTGGACCTGCACCATCAACAAGGTTTAAAAACAACCATTTTTTAATATAAACTCTAAACTCTACTTTTTAATATAAACTCTTAATAAACTCTTGATTGTGTCACCAAACAGCGTCAAAAATCTCAAAACAAAATCGCTCGGCATCAGTTCAACCATATATAGGCTACGAAGATGACATAAAAGTGATTTTCGTGAACACGACTTGACCGCTAGGAGAGATACCGGATCGGAATAAATATGCCACCAAAACATTAATAGATGAATGCTTCAAGAGGTCGGAAACAGTAGACTAGCCAAGCTCTCAGATTCCAATAATTTCGACTTAAATAATTTATTTTTATCCTGTATATTCCCACTAAAAGCTGAAAGATAATGGTTATATATGCAAATTAGTATACAAGCAGTGGCCATTTTGTCGCCAACTTCTGGTAATGTAAGGAAAACCTGAGGATCGTCAACGATAGCTAGGGACAACCAGAGGACAATCAACGATAGTTAGGGACAACCAGTTAGAGAAACATCAACTATAGTTAAGGACACCCAGAGGACACGGAGAAAAACCTCGTTACATAAACTTTAAAGCTAACAGCTAACTCCGTGGTAAGGAGATGAGCATGTGCGCGTTAATTAACTTCTGTCACCTTCCCATTCTAGTGACATCAAGTTCTGCTACAGTGATCAAAATCACATGTGGTGTTTGTGCTGCGATCATCATTATGGCCTTTGCTTTATTTCTCATTTGTAAAGGAAAAGTTCGGATTACCCGATCTAATAGAAGAGATAGTAAGTTTATTGAATTGTTTCGTTCTAAAATACTACTTTTCGGAGTATGTCTAATTTAGTGAGCTCCATATATATCTGGAGCGGATACCGTGGATAGTGAAACCAAATTTGGAGCTTTTGGACATCAGTTTCAGTCGCTTTCCGGCTATTGTTTCTGCCTGCGCAGTACTCAAGGAGTGTACCGAAATTCCGGAGGGGGAGAGGGGGAGGGAGAGAGGGGGAGAGGGAGAGAGGGAGAGGGAGAGGAAGAGGGAGATGGAGAGAGAGGGGGAGAGAGGGAGAGGGGGAGGGGGAGGGGGAGGGGGAGGGGAAGAGGGAGTGGAAGAGGGAAAGGGGGAGAGGGAAAGAGGGGGAGAGTGTTCGGTCAATTTGGGATAGCATATGGAAAGCTGCCAAAGCCAGGCTAGACTGGTCTAGGTTGATATTTCTCAAGATTGTCTGCTGGCAAAGGATGTTTCTAATTTAATCCAAAAATTGTTTACAGGTATTTCTCCATATGCGGTCTTTGCCTTTGAACGAATGCCAGAAAGCTATTCACCAGTACCTTTTGATAATACAACAGGAGAACGCATATATGAAGAAATATCCGAAAGCGTGGGTGAAATAAATAGAATAACAACGGAAGAACATGTATATGAAGACATCGTTTGAAAGTAAATATTGTATTTCTCCTGTCATCAAAAGCGACGCCATATTAAAATCGTAATGCATTGTTGCTTATTCAAGGATGTTGAACGAAAGTCCTGTAAATATAAATATATCAGACAGTATACATATATTTTTGTGTGTGTTTCGATGTTATATACTCAGGTGAATATAATGTTTTTGATGCTGCTCTGAGTGTATATCCACACCGGGCAGGCTGCATCAAAAGTTAGCCTCACCACGGCTCGCGACTCTTGTGGGGTACTCTGCCAACTGAGCTACTACAGCACACATTCGAATATACTTGGCCTAGCATCCCTTGACTAGCATCCCAAAGGTCGCGGGTTCGATTACCACCGTGGTGAGGCAAACTTTCAGCTTGTCCAGCACCTGGTGTGGATATACACTCAGAGTAACATAAAAAACATTATATTCACTTGAGTACATAACATCAAAACACACACAAAAAGTTCATGACCATAAACACATTGGTATATCGGTACTTGACTTTTTTATTATTATTATTATTATTATTATTGATCTTTAAACACGGTAACCTTTCACATAGGTGATTTTCAAAGGGCCGTGCGGAAAATAAATGCATTATAAAAGAAGGAACTAATAAACTAAATTATACTTATTTACAAAATATACTTATTTACTTATTTACTTATTTACAAGATGTAATTATTTAATAGATGATGGACAGATTTTAAACTTGTTGATTCTCTTAGGGTTTTCAACAAGTTTACTGGGATTTTGTTCCAATACGCTGCTCCTCTGTACGAAAAGCTATTTTTCAAGATATTTTTCAACTTCGTTCCGAAATACCACACACTCGAACAGACTTGGCCTCGTAGCTCAGTTGGCAGAGCATTGGACTAGTATCCCAAAGGTCGCGGGTTTGACTCCCACCGTGGTCAGGCTATATTTTCAACCTGACCGGTGTGGATACACACTCAGAGTAACATCAAAAACATGGTATACATATAGCTGGGGCAAAAAATGTACTTTTATGAATTTTTGAAAATGATTGTCTCCCAACTCGAAGTTAAGCTTTCTAATTTGTCTCGGTACTTCACAGCATCTTGTATTGTGCGGTTTTTATTTATTTATCAGAGATGAATCCACCGGGAGTGAGGGAGGTGCGCACCAATACTATTGTACTTGTATTTAGCACCCCCTGTTATAGGTTGATGAACGCATCAATTTTAGCGAGGGAGAATCAGTATACCTGCGTATACTCCATATACATAACAAATTATAGGAGTTGTAACATCGCGAATTAATGGCATTATGAATAGCTTAGGATCACTATCATAGGTGTACTCGTGCAATACATGTTACGATCGAGTATACTCAACGTATCCGCATCGTGCTCATGTCACAAAAGCTGATATGCAGTCTCAAGATTATTTCAACAAAAGAGTTGAACTTTTCACCGCTGGGTTAAAACGATCGTCATCCGGTGTGGAACATATATTTCTTAATTTTGCATGAAATACAAGTACCGTGAGGAAAAATTTAACGAATAAATGTAGTCCTCAGAATGCAGGAAATGACATTTCAGGGTTCAAATTTTAATTAACGTCTCTTTCCGCGTATTAATGCACCCCCTCTGGATAACCTCCACCCCATCTAACAAATGAGGCCAGATCTGCAGCCTCCTGTTATTTATCGCGCATGTCAGCAAGCTCGTTCTGCCAGTCTAATGCAGTTTTCTTCGATTGAAACCTTTCTACCAATGCTACTTTTGCGTGATCGAATGATATCTCGTTGACTGTTCACTAAAGCACTAAAAATTATTTAGCCACCTCCTTTAGCGATAAGTGTAAACACGCGTCTTTCTTGTTGTCTGTTTCAATTCCCTTCGCCACGAAAAACGATTCAACTTGATTTACAGGACGAAACTAGCTCCCTTAATTCGGGGGAAGGGGGTGTCTGCCAGAATTGCCCTGCCAAAATTTTTATTTTGATATCCTGCAGCAAATTTTTATTTCTGAGACAATATTTTTCCAAAATAGTTGGCGAGCGGGTGGTGAAAAAATTTGCGACTAGCGACTTTTCAGTCACACGGTATACGACCTTGGCAAATAGACAAATTCATAATAGCAAGCAAGAGGTTTCGAAATTACACTTGCAGAGTCCTTCAATAGGCGGTACGGCATCTGATCTAAGCCAACAGCCTTACTCGTTTTTAACTTACGCAAGGTTGGGGATTGATTAACACTAAACAATATGAAGCCAAACAACGAGAAAACAAAATATATGGTCATTGGCACGGCACAAAAACTTCGTTATAGTCCTTGTATTTGAATGGAACTAAACTTAATAAAACAGACGAAGAAAAACTTTTAGGAGTAATGATTGGCCATCTTATCAAGAAACTAAATAGTCGAGTGCATCTTCTGAGGAGAGTCAAATCGTATGTAACGATAGTGTGTAGAAAACTATTATACAATTCTTTAATTAAATCCATTTTGGAATATTGTTGCACTGTCTGGGGAAATTGTTCAAAAGGAAATCTTGGTAGATTACTGAAATTGAAAAAACGTTGTGCAAGAATTATATACTCGATGCCAATACAACTGCAAATTCAGTTAATCTTTTCAATGGTTTAGAATGGCTTCCAATTGACGATTTAAAACTAATAAACTTCTTATGCTCTATAAAATAGGTCGCGGCATTTGTCCACAATACTTTGAATCATATTTCACCTATGTAAATACAGTTCATAAATATAGCACTAGATCAGCTAATAACAAATTAAATATTATTACACCAAAATGTAAAAACAATTCTAGCCTTAGAACTTTCCACTCGAGTGTATGTCGTCAGTGGAACAAGACAGACTTGTCAATTAAGAACATTGCCTCTTATGCAAATTTTAGAAAAGTAATACACTCTAGCTTTCAGGAACAATATTGTTCAATTGAACACTTCTGCATAGAAAAGACTTATTATATAGAAAATTTAGTATTTGTACAAATTTGGTAGATTTATTTGTTGCATAGCTTAGTGAGGCCCATCATGAAAATTACTGGGCAACCAGTAATGGTGTTTTTACCCTCAGTAAATAAAGTATTTTGACTTTGACTTTGGTGTATATAAATTGTTCCGAGATTTCTTCAAATTCAAATGAAGAAGCTGTTCCATGCACCCGCACGTTAGATGAATTACACGTACGACCAATGAATGACATAACAGAGTCGTTCATTGTTTTAACAAGCCGACCGGCAGTTCCAAGAAAGAATTTATTAAAGCTCTCAGCAATCGTTTTATAATCCGTAATTACCTGTCCTTCGATTCACCTGGCATAATTTTCATAATCACATGCCATAAGACTTTCGGGTTACCTCCACATTCCTCAATAACCTTTATGTTATATTTACTTTTTGCAATTTTGATTGATTTTGTTAGCCGGTTCCGATGTGACCAGTCCTCTGTTGCATGCGATTGTTTGGCTTTGCGCAACAGATAATTGCTTTGTCGGGTATCCCTTTTATTTCGCCTGTTAACCAAGGAGAGGGGTTACCACGAACACGTTTTTCCAAAAGTGGTGCATGCAAATTAGCAACATCATAAACTAGAGGGCACTCAGAGACTGCATACCTCCGCCTACGCGCAAAATATTGAAGTAATCTATTGTTATTAGAATTTGAATGGCTGGTGCATATATTATGCACGTCCTAATTACGCATTCAGTATAAAGTTTTATTTAATTGACCGGGAAAAGCAAGACAAACTTTTGTTATTTCTCATTCATTTTTTAACCAAATTCAACCAAATTTTCATCAGTTCTTCCTTAGCCGATGGGAAATGCACTCACAAAATTTCATACGGATATGTTTGGTATTTCTTGAGTTATCGTGCTCACAGACAAACACACACACACACACACATGCAACAATACTACACATACACACACACACACATACAAACCCAGATGATTACATAACCTCCTGGTGGAGGTAATGATTACATAACCTCCTGGTGGAGGTAATGATTACATAACCTCCTGGCGGAGGTAATTATACTAAAAAATTTGACCAGTGCTCATTAACCGATACATTAGCGTCCTCAGTGGGATTGCTTATGCTCTTCCAGTCAGCATTATTCAAATCTGAACAAAAGGATTCACAGTTGTATTTTGCATAATTCCTAAACTGTTTTGTTTGTGCAGGAAATTTCGTCCAATTCACTTTCGGAACGCAATATACCATCTCGTGGTCGCTAAGGCCCGTCCTAGTAACTCCGCTACGACTTAAATTTCTAGGGACATTTGTAACAAAAAGATCTAAAAGGGAGGTCGAACGCTCCCTTACATGCATCTGTCTTAGACGTAGATGGCAAAAAGTCAAAGTTAAAATCACCAAGCAGAATCACTTCTTTCTCATCGGCGGTGGCAATATCCAACATAACCTCAAATTTCGAAACAAATTCTTTATCAAAATAGCGCGACGAATGGAGGGCCTATAGAACATAACCAATAAAATTCTATGCGATTTTGGGAGAAATAACTCTAACCACAGACCCTCAACCCCATCCATTTTAAGGTCGTGTCCCACTACAGATAATTCATTTTTCGCATAAACAGCTATGCCACCACCTTTATTCGCTCTGTCCAATCTGAAGACTTTATAACCAAAATTTTTTCGTTTAGCCATGTTTCACTCAAAGTTAGAAAATGTATTTCCGATTGAACAGACGAGCAAATCAACCGTAACTCGTTTATTTTCTTAGCTTTTGACTCCCCTGTATATTTTGATGCACGATCTTAAAGCCCTGGGCAAACTAGGGAACATTGTTACGGAAACATTTGTTATTCTCTATGTTTCCTCAAATGTTTCCATGTTTGCCCACCCGTGGAAACATTGTTGCGGAAACAAAAAGCAATGGGAAACAAAAATGTTTCCTACCAAATTCGAAACATTTGATGTTTCCCTATGTTTCTCACTAATGTGAACTAGTGTTTGCCCACTTTGGGAAACATGGCGAAACATTGGTAGGAAACAATGTTTCCACAACAATGTTTCCTAGTTTGCCCTGGGCTTAAGGCCTCGAGTTTTCACTACATCGAGAAACTCAGGGAATAAGGCAAAAGGACTCTCATCAACGTATTAGAAGGTAGTGAAGTAACACAACATAAGGAAGAACATGATTAAAAACGATTAAAAACGATAGTAAATATGCATGATTAAAAACGTCGCGAGAAAATAATTTTTTAA